AAAAGACACAGCATTTTTTCCGTAAAAAGTCTGCTCATTGACAAGGACTTGCACGTACAGGAAGATAACGATCAATCGACTTAGCCCTTTTGCTACTCAGGAAAGATTATTGCTTATCTCTTATCTCGTACGTGTGCCTCGCGAAAACAATTGTATCACTCATAACTATGCTTTATCACAAAACAAACAGTGTCGCGTCATAGCTATGTTTTTTTACGAAAGAAATGTCATTGAAATGGGAAAAGATTACGGCTAAAAATCTGACACGTTTTATTCCAAATTTATTTCCAAATGCATTATGAATATGAGCTTCTCAGTGAATATACAGTAAGCGTAAAATTCAATTGTCCCCGCCGTTCTTCGTTTGCCAACGTATGTAAGCTGTTGACGCGAGAAAATATGGGCGGATATTTCACGCAAAGAAGTTTTCCCTTCAACTTCTTTACTTTTAGCCGCAGAATTTATTCTACTCCAAAGGACGATAAGAATGCGTTCAAAGCAGGGAGCATGCTCATTCTTTCTTAGAGCGACCTCACACCACTCAAGGAAAATACCCTTACAACAGTTCGTGCACACTTGATTATAAGGGGGCGAGGAGAGGGAGGACAAAATGACTTTACGCAGCCTAATAAGTTGTCCGGAAGCTAACCGTTTTGCAACTTCCCAATTTGAAGTGTCATGACTCCGTTAAAGTCATGTTTCATGAGGTAATAACCACTGCATAGGAAACCTTTATCTATCAGCTTATTCACTTCTTCTAGTGGATCCATAAGCAGACCCTTTTAAGCCAGAAAAAAACAAAGGAAATTTTTAGAGCAACGACTGGAACTTCTTTTAGAAAAGTGTTTAGTGGGATTCTAGCTCGTGTAGTCATAAGCCAGTGACACACTTTGACTCAACTAGACTGGCGGCCGGAAGGCGGAGCTTCGTGAGCTAATTAAGGCAAGCTAATAATTAGAGAGGAACTCTTACGAGAGAGATGCGGACTGCGCCGCGGGCGCGAGCACCTTCCAGCCGCCAATCTCATTCAATCGAGGGGTACACAAGTAGCTACGCAAAGGTTCTTCAAGAGCTTTTTTTGAGAGACAAAAAAAACTCGGAATCAAAAGAGTCCGTTTTTTGACCTTTTTTGGAAGGTAATTCTCTCAGAACTCTGGTTTCCAAAAATTTTATCACCAATGGTAAAACTGGGAAGTTTTGAGTTATAGGAGAAAGTTTTGTGCTCTATTTAAAAAAGTTATGTAGCCCATTGAATGGCCGCGACAATAAGTTACTTTTGGATAACGATATATTTGCTTCCATAATAGTCAGAAGAAAGGCTTACTGTATGTTTAGTACGTTCGTTTAGCATCTTCCGGCAGCTATGTTATTATGAAAGCATCTTTTTTGCCAAATGAGTTGGCACCAAAATAGTGTATAATATTTAAGGATGCTTGGAAAACCGGAAAAGATACAGCTAAGACCGAAGCAATATAGGTTGAAGGGGTACGAGCAGCACTTTCAGAGAAAGAACATGCGAGTCTGGTAGCTAGAAGGTCACTGATTCACAAACAGGAGAAAATTGATCTAATTATACTCCAGCAGGAATTGATTAGTTGTTTTCGGATACCATATCCATGAGTCGCACAGCAGTTACGGATTTCTTTGCGTTTTAGAATTGAATGCAAGCACCTGCACAAATCCTTTGTGGGCTCAAATACGAGCTGCCTTCTTTAGATTGTTTTGTAAAGTCTTAACACAGTGGCACATCTGTTGACCTTGAAACATTCGAATTTGGGCTTGAAGCTGTCCCAAGTATCCCTGCTAAAACATGTCAGAACAAAAATAGACCCCGTTTGTGGGCTTATCCATTAGCATATTTCGAAATTTTTATCGCTGCATGGTTCTCATAACTGAATTGAGCCTTATGAACAGAAATTCTGCAAAGCTATACCAAAAAAGTCTGAGATCATAACTCAAGTGTTGTAAACTATCGAGAACGATGTGGACTACGATGCTCTGCACTCTTCTTGCTGGTACAGGCAATGTTGACCACATGCATACCTTCGATACATAGAGCCACGTACTCTGGTAACCTTCACTTTGAGTGTCATGAGAGGACACAACCTTCACCTGGAGAGGAATACAGAAGTCATCCGGGGCGAAGCCCGGATATTATGATATAACTAATGACTAACTATGTAAGAATGAATGTGAACGAGGCAAATATAGTAGTGACATCCAGAAAAAGCTCAAAAAACCGAAGGGTCGCGTTTTTATGGCCTTTTTTTGCTGAAAAGAAGGTTTTTCTTCAAAAATTCAGTTAGAAATTAGGATGAAACTTATCAATTAACCTTTCTGTAGATTGCGATTGAGCGTTGGATGTTCATGAAAGCCGCTGGAATTCAATAAAAACGAGAAACTGCGCTGAAATCTTGCGCAGAGAGTCGCCACATAAATGCTGGTCTATCTCGTTATGGAGTGATTTTCAAGACCTGCGACGTTGTCAGTGCTCCTGGCCGTCTCATGAGGATCACAACGATATATAATATTATAGGGTTTTGTTATGACCCCGCGGAGATCAATGACCAGAGCCAAATGCCCCGCCGGCTCTGGTCTGTCTCTGCTGCTCGTCTGCGTCTCCGCGCGCTGCGCGCTACCTCGCTACCCCAAACGCGGGGCGCGGGGCATTTGGCTCTGGTACCCTTTTCTTCGCTGTTTCGAACCCAATTTTAGCAAGCTACATATCATTTTGAAGCTCTTGATCTCTATTTTCACGCTGACAACGTCGCAAGACTTTTTTTTATGATTTAAACGAGAAATCCGGCAAAAACCTTGTTTTCGAAAATCTCTCGTTTTTCTCCTAGTTTGACTCTTTTCACGCAGTTTTTTTGTGTAGTCGATAGGCCTTGTTTCTGTCTATAATGTAGACAACGTCGCCGAGCTTATTTCTCTGCTTATGCCGGTTTTTTTTGTGAAAATTACAAAAAAATGCGTTTTTCTTTACCTTATTCTTTTTCAGTGGTTTCGCAACGAATTTTCTCCAGCTTGGACGATACTTGCTCAGAATGATGAGCGGAAGAATCCAGACAACGTCGCAGGGTACAAAAGGGACGGCGCGAGGGTAAAAATTCAAAGGACGCATCAAAAATCAAAAACCCGTGTTGCGAATTGCTGGTCTTGAAGCGAAGACTTGCACTTTAAAAAGCCGCCAAACGAAAGATTTCAAGCCTTATAGCAGCATTTTTGTCTGGTTTTCAGCAGTTTCTCTTGCTTTTTATATCTATTTTACGTCATTTTTTCTTCTCTGATCTTCTTCAAACAACCTTCACTATTTATGACGTCAGATGTTCAAACAACCTTCACTTTTGGCGCCCTGTCTCTAGACTATCGAAGGTATGACCACATGGCTCTTACCGGTTCTGGGGTTTCCTAATTTTTACATTCAAGGTAGGAAGCTCCTGGAACCTGTCAAGCCGTTGTACAGGAAAACGTCAACGCTAGTTCATAAGGCGGCGGACTCGATTTTATTTGCAAAATGAAAATGAGCTCAAAATTCTTTTTCCGGCTTCTGATAAAGCGCAAGCCTTTTCCTTTTTTGCTAAATATCCTGCTGTTCAAGGCGCATTGAGTTTTGGATTCAGCATCGCCGAAAGTTTACGCCTTTCTTTGGTCACGCTTAATGTGCAAAACCAGGGTCTCATAAAATGTAAATTGTCAGAATTTAAACCCAAGAGTTCAACACAGTGTAAGATAACGAAAAAATCCTTGCATAATCAATTCTGAAATGGACTTTTTGAATCAACAGCGCAGAATTGTTCCTGCATTTTCAACGACCATTCGGTTGACAGGCTGTTAGAGCTTCTGGATATCCATCACCAGCTACACTATAAAGTTCGCTTACATGCATCATTGGTTTGCGCTCGTGCAACACGATATCGGCAAGATTTCAGGTTCTACAAATAATTATTCTCAAGTATCAGCTCTGTGCATCCTTCGCTCTCAATTTTGAAACTGTAACTTTGGGGCGGAGCTGTGCCTAAATATTCTAGTGCTTTTTGGCTCGATGAAAAGGCGCTATCAGATTGCCTTATAAATACTCCATGCTGACAACCTATCACTTTTTGGCAATCCTTATCTGCCACAGTTCACATTCTCGCTTCTCATAGCTCACTCTCTCAAAGCTTTGCGAGTGCTTTCGCATCTTTCAAGCGATTTCACTTGATTGTCATCGTTATAACATAATTAGGTACCAACTATATCTTTACGGTAAGGAGACGTAAGGTTTTAGCTAATTGTAAAATATTATGAAGCGCTAAAGTACATGTTTTGCATTAATCTGATTCTGAGGCAAGCACCACAGGTACAGTATTTGATGCAAGTTTGATGAAAGAACAAAAAGCTGCTCTTGAACATACATTTAGAATTACCTAGGTCGTTAAGCTTGACTATTCGAATAATACGAAAATCAGTAATCAAATGATAATATTCGTTCATTCGCAAAATTTTCAAAAATCAAGTTTTCTATATTCATTCAATCGAAAAAAGCTTAAGAATCAATTAGATATTTGTCATTCGAGAAAATTTTCGTCGTTGCGAATATACTGCATACGCAACGCACGCGTCAGCCACTGTCACGATTTTATGATTGCCTTATACAGGTCGGCACAATCGATTATAACAAAATAGAGAAGTGTACGAATTTTTCCAAAAACCGCAAATTCCAAATTTCGATTTTGGCAAAAATGTGAAGCTGCGCACAACCTAAAACAAAACATTTTAACGGAACAGGCAAAATGCTAGAATCTGATTCACTAAGAACATTGAATGGAATGAAATTTGAAAACAAATGAAGACTAGAATTTGAGAACTTGAGCGAGTTAAATGCGTCAAACCTGGACATATTTACTAACTATGGGGCCGGGCCTCAAGATTGGCCGAGATATTTCGTGACGAGGTACTTCAACATGCCCAACAGCAGCATCATTTTGCTTTGTTGCCAGGGATGAAAAGTTCTATTAAGGTGATCCAAAAGCAAGGGCACTCAGAGAATAAATGCAGCGTTCTCGAACGGAAGAGCAAGTGGATGTCCAGTTTTCGCAAATGTGAGCACAAATCAAAAACGTTCTGTTCGGGGTCTTAGATAGGCAAGGTCGCATGGCGTTATTTTCGTGAAACAAAATTCGTCACTTTTGCTGTTTCGAATTTCAAACAGAGCCCTTACAAGCAATTAAGTGAGGCTACCAAGAAAAACTGTGACTAGGAGGGAACTTTGTCAGGTCTAAGGGTTAGCTATTCCCTTGCCTGATGTGTAACGGGCTTACCTAAGTCTTACTATAATACTTATTATAAAGGATTATATACAAAAGGGGAAAAGAGAAAGGGAAGGCCACTGGCTAGTGCCGTCAGCCGGAGGTCATTGCCAGAGGTTGGCTGTCTTCGGCCGACCTCCTTCTCGAGCAGCTGTTGTAGTTAGCTGTGTCCCGACATCTCCATTCCTTCAGGAAGCTCGTCCTCGAGCTTGTGCTATGGTTGAGGTTTCGAATTTTGCAGTTGGCATGCGTAGTGGTGTTCTTCCGAGTAACGTGCGTTGAATGTGCACGTAATATACGGCGTAATATACGACGAGAACACACAAAATGAAGTAGTGAATACATTGAAGATGCATGATAAATTTAAGGATACGGATCCAGTGGACTGTGAGCAGCCACGACCTTCACCTAGTATATCCCACGGCTTTGAGTAAGATTGTCCTTGAGCTTGAAGTAGCTAAGGAACGGTGTAGGAAACTGCGGAGAGATGCAGTTGACTTGAATGGGGTTTCCGACGTGATGATGGGAAGGGATTGGAGTGGAATTGTAGGAAATGAAGATTGGACCGGCTGGTCTGTGGGCGTAGTAAGAAGATTTGAGTTGATTGGGAAGGCAAATGATCTAACAGTTGGAATATAGGGGTTACAGTATATAGAGAATTGTAATCAAAACTGATAACATATGAGATAGTACGTGTAAGTGATTAACAACAGGAATTTATATCAGGATATCAGTGAGAGATAAATTACGGTCTACTCACAGTAGTTATTGAACAATCCAACATGGTTTAACGCTAATATTGCAAAGTTAAGAATTTTTTTTCGTACTAACATCTTCTGTGGAAAATTGCATGTTATGACAGAGGCAAAATGAGTTCATGTGTTGAACTGGGCACTGCACACTTTTTTCGTTCAACATAGGGGCAAAATTTGTTTATTAGGTAAAGAGTTTGATTTTGAATTGCCTAATGCAAACGATTTCTTTGAATTGCCTGTTCAAAGAAAATTGCAGTTCTATTGAAACGCGACGGTGCGGAAAGGAAGAAAAACAAACTGACTTTAGAAAATGAGTAACTATCCAATAGCAAAAACGTGTGTAATGGCAATTTGCAAATAGTTATTCATTTTCTCCATTGTGATCGGAGTGTGACTCTTATGCTCTGAAAGGGCGTTTCAACTATAGACGAAGCACCGTGCGGGTTGTGGTTCAACATTTTTCAAAGTTTCCGATGTGACAGGTGTGAGAATGAGTTTTTGGGGGAAAACTTTGGCCAATGTAGAGCAAGAAAATAGATCTTGAATCTATTCATATGGACACATTGAATGTTAGTAGGTCCAATCAAATTAGAGACAGTGTCAGTGAGACGACTGACTTGCACGACAATAAAAGGGTCTTTCCACTGGTGTGTAAATTTTGAACTGTATCGTCTCTAAAATTAAATCTCCAGTGAAGATATTCTTGGAAAACCTCCGTGGTGGAACTTGTAACCTGATTTGTGGTAGCTGTCTTGCAATCGATCTAGTCACCATCTTCCATGATTGTTTTTGTAGTGCAGTAGTCAGTTGATCGGTGAAACTATCGGTTGCATAGGAGATCCTCGACGATAACTGATGGATAACTCCCACTGACCTGAGAGTTGACACAATCAGCGTTAAGGATCTCGCCGATCATTCTTCTGTTGCAGAGAATCTGTTAGAATTTCAAAATACCGTTAAAGATATCGCCATGATCTTTGACAAAAAAAGCGCGAGATAAAGCTGCGCTCATTTGGGACGATCTCGCTCAAAAAGGCAGTTGTTCTTAGCGAAATGTATTTCAGGGACGTACGCTTGAGAAACCAGGTACGCGCTCGGGCTGAAGAGGCCGAACGCATGTTGCAGCATGGCGGTAAACGTAATGATCGAGCTTCTCCATTTGTGGATGAGTTTGAAGTTGCTGCTGATCTGATGGGACTTGTCATTGGTACCCACAGATCAAACATAAAGAGAGCCAGAAAAGTTGAAGATGTGGACGACATTCAAGTATTTGAAGGTGGCGGCGACGGGCATCCATGCATCATAAAAATTTTTGCGAAGACAGCAGCTGCTGCTCAAAAAGCGCGAGCACAGCTTGACTTTGGTGTCGAATGTGTGCACGTGCCGAGATTTCTCGTAGGAAAATTGATCGGAAAGAATGGAAAATACATCCAGGAAATAGTAGATAAATCCGGTGTGGTGCGAGTTCAGATTCCAGGAAAGGACGATGACACTATGGATTCGGTACCCTTCACTTTCACTGGAACCAGAGAGTCAACATCGATGGCCTCATTCTTGGTAGACTTCCAAATCAATCATCTCAAGGAAACCGAAGGATTACGCAGCAATATCGAAGATATGATGCGGCAGGCCTACGGCAATAGCACTTATCAACGCAATGGCTATGGTGACAGGCGCGGAGGACGCCGCGGACGTGGTCGAGGTGGCTATTGCAACTGTAGTCAAAATGGTGGCTCTGCCAATGGAAGTTTAAGCAGCGTAGGAAAACCTTGGAGAGGTGATGGCGCCCTAGTGATGAGGAATGGTCTGGAACAGAAGAAGCAAAACATAGGGATGATCAAACAGAATCAGGAACGTCGTCAAGGGCGACAGCGCGGTGGAGGCAGTGGCTGTAGTAGAGAAAGAGGAAGTGCCGGACGAAGGCGCGTACGCGCTGGATTCAACGGGAATGGGGCTTAGCCGAGCGCGGGTACTTCTACGAATAATGACACCGACATGATGTATTCATTTTCCACTATTTCGTAAGGTCTCTCAAACGAATACATGTATTTAATCTCAAACTCAAAACCCATTGCATTAGGCTGATATTGTCAACCTCCATTTCAACCGCGCTAAGATCCATTCGTGTGTTCTCGATGTCTGTCACCAAAGCTAATCTATGTCTTCTCTGTCTATCTCCAATACGTATAAACTCGTCACACACCCACGTCCTCTCCTCTACTCAGACAAACGCCGGGGGCAGGCGGGCACCGGAAAAATAGATTGCTGATCTCTCGCACCCCGCTCGCAGATTTTTTGGAAGGCAATCAGGACTTTTCGGAAGACCGCTTGCTGAGTTCTCGATTCCTCAGAGATTCAGCAATATATCTGCAAAAGATAAGAGCGAGAAAAATTCAACAGGCGGTCTCTCAAATCCGCTGACTCAGCAAGCGGTCTTCCGAAAAGTCCTGATTGCTTTCCAAAAAATCCGCGAGCGGGTTGCGAGAGATCAGCAATCTATTTTTCCGGTGCCCGCCTGCCCCCAGCGATTGTCTGAGTATCTGCGGTTTGTGATCGTAGCCTTGTTAGCGTTACTGAAGCTTTCTCACTCATGCATCCGTGTATCTAGTATCTGCTTAAATGAGTTTCAGTTACGAGTTTTCTTTTATCTCCGTAAAGTTTGTTGTGCATCACTTTTCTTCCGTAATATCGTAACGTAACTATCTTGTAATGGGAGATTAGAACTAATGCATGGCTTACGTTACTAGAACAATTCTGATCTTATTAATCGATGTTCACCTGTGATAAACAACTGAAACGTATTTTTACTTGGCTCAACTATTTGAACTTGCTCTTCGTAATTGCCTTGAATGAAGTTTTGATGGACTATATCGCACTAGGTGATCGAGTGACGACCATACGCAACGAAATGCGGGCTATTTCCTATGGTATCATTGATATTAGTATAAGCGAAGAAGATCGGCTGCGAAAATCAGACCGTGGCTCTTTAGCTTCTGGAACAGTAAGCCGTTAGAGATTAGAGACTGTAATCATTTTAACCATCCTTTCGACTCGCCCATTCGTTTTGTGGTTGCAATTAAGGGTGAACTTGTTGGAAGTGCCAAGCACTCTGTATATTTTCGAAACATTTCACTAGTGTGAACCATAGTCGGGCACTAGTTCGTTAGGAATGCCGTGTTTAGCCATGACATCGTTTACCCTAGCTTTGACAACAAGATCTGTTGTATGGTTGGGAGTGCGGTGCAGATTATGAGTTTGCTGAACGCACGGGCGTAGTGATGAATCGATTACCGTTTATACACTGTGGTAATGGACCAACAATATCCGTGTGCAATAGAAAAGGCGTTGGGAAATTAAAACCAAAAAGATTTTTTATTTTCTGGCATGTTGGGCAATTTCGAGTTGCGTGAGTTTCCAAACGTTTCCAAAAGTATTCAGCAGATATATGTAGCTTTTACGGTTTTCGTAGGTCTAAATGCGATCCCAAATCTGGGTTTGTGTGGAAAACCTCAATGATTTTATCTTGACAGGCCTTATCAGGAATAATCGGTCGAGACGTATTTTGAAAAGTTAGTAAAAAAAGACAGTCATTATAGAAAGAGTACCTGCCCGAAGTGTCGTAAAATTATGGTGGTGTCCAACTCTCCTTTTGATGGGACTTCCATAAATGGAATCGTCCTGAAATTGCTGGATACGATCCAAAGATGGTAGTGTATGCACCTGTACGGATTCTATTTCTGCAATAGGATAGCGACTAAGGAAATTGCATAGAGTATTGTACTTTCCAGCACGATACTCAATCTTGACATCTTACGCCTGTAAGGTGATTTGATATTTGACGAGACGACCCACGAGATCTGTCGGGAAGCAGCTAACTATACAGCTGCTCGAGAAGGAGGTTGGCCACCGGCTAGTGCAGTCAGCCGGAAGTCATTGCTAGGGGTTGGCTGTCTTCGGCCAACCTCATTCTCGAGCAGCTGTTGTAGTTAGCTGTGTCCCGACAACTACACCAATTCCGCTATAGTCTGCTTGTTCCAAAGCTTCGCCACAGAAGATATGGCAGCGAGTAATAGAATAAATACCATTCATTCTATCACTCTACGATATTTCACTTAATACTACCCAAAAATCAAAGATTGCAGATTGAAAATCATTAGGAGGCAGGGGGGAGTAGATTGCCAGTCATGAAGCATGATAGGACTTCCTTTGGAAGGTTACGGTAGGCATACGATATGGCGTAAAATCACAGTCCTCGCTGAAACTTTGCACAGAGGAATTACTCGACATGCTGATACCGAAAACGAATATCACACTTATTCCGCATCAAAACGTCTCCATTGTTACATTAGGTGCATGGTAGAGGGTCGAACTCACAGACTTTCAAAAAATTTACCGACAGCACGGTGAACATGTCTATTATATTATGTTTGCAAGGAGAGATACTCTTTTGGGTTACCACAGGTGTATTAGATAGGTCGAAGTTTCAAATTTACTCAAGACCAGGGTGAGCAAGAGGTCAGGCACAAGTCCTTCAAAACGACCCCCTCCCCCCGGTTGTGAAAGGCCCTAAACGACTCTCCGCTTCACCTCCAAATCCTCACTGTGTTATATTTTGAAGGAGATCAGCCTTCACCGCAGGTTTCTGTTTTTTGTCTGTAAGCCCGACTTTCTGCGATTGCATAACCACATGCAACTTGACGGCAAGTTTTAGATCTGCATAGTCCTCCTTTCAGAGCTATGATTTTTACAGGGGTGGAGTGTTTGGCTTCAAATTTTCAAAATAGCAAGAAGAGGCTTTGCGCTCAACACTCATATGAAAAAAGGGGTGATTTTTGAATTTGAAGGCAAGTTAAGAGGGTCAGGCGCAACCCCTCAGAAGTTCAGGCGGCCTGACCTTTTGAGGGGTTGCGCCTGACCCCATTAACTTTATTTCCGAAAAAGCTTTTCTGCCCAAGTTTTATGTGATTCGCTAGCTCAATCCTCGAAGATTCCACAGTCAGTGTTTGAGCTTGATTCGACTTGTTTCGGCCTTGTTCTAATCCAAGGTGTTGAAGCACTCAACGTGAAAAAGGCGCCGGTTGGAATTTTGGCAGCACTTCTTACTTGACTGTTTGAAAGCGATATGAAGCCCGATTTGTAGCATAGACTTGTAGAGAATATTATTTTGTTATGAGCATACAAAAGCTGACTTTTCTCACTTCTGAAACCAAGTTGATCACGTTTGAAAATCACGCTTTTTAGACGTTAAGAAACACTAGAAACTGCAGTAGGTAATGGTTTGTAGGCATAGAGGTAATTTGACTTGCTGATTATGGAAATGATACCCATATCACACAGCAAGCTTCCTTGTCGACTCATATATCAAGGTAAAAGAAGTGAAGATTTGAATTTTGGCTGAAACTTCCATTGTGGAAACAATCAGTATGCTGTTTATGACCGTCATTCCTTCATGTGATCGCGATACCACCGGACTAGCGCATTTCTTCTTCATCTTCGCAGTATCTCCCCAAGCTAACAAATTCGATTCTTAATTACGACCCCCCCCCTGACCTTACCCTCAATACGATCCCCCAGGTCGGGCGCGCCTGACCCCACGCTCAACCCTGCTAATATCGTTACTTTTTCGCTTTTGATGAACAACCTTCTAGCAGTGATTACGGTAGGATACGCGGCAACCGGTCGAATGGTGTGGAACTCTGTAGAGAGGTTGTCTGAACTTCTGATCACGTATACTGCGCTCATCTCGCATAATAAGGTCTTGTCGATTTTTGAGATCTAAACTGTCTAAAATCCAAAAAAGGGTCTATGTAGTTTCAACCATATACAATTTCAGCCAAGTTCGTAATTGACCCTCACCTCACGCATTGCAACTCCACCAGGCTCGCTGTGCAAAAAGTTCATGATTTTTGTGATCAGCGTGTCAAATAACCCCTTTGGATGAAGTTTCAGCGAAATCCGAGATTTCGTCCTTATGCGTATCCACCATAACCCACAATAAGGTGCTATGGTGATGATGAATATCCTATTTGTGAGCAGCGTGCTAGATAATCTTCTTCCTACACCAGATTCCAGCGAAGTCGGAGATTCTTATTTGGGGCCAGCACACTGGTATCAAAAGACCAAGATCATGCGAAATCGACGCGGTCTATGTGACCCATCAGAAACCCCCTCATGCCCAAAACTGCAGACAGATCTTCGATTTCGATTGCCCGTACACCCATGTAACTCCGTGAGAAGATACTAAAACGCAGAAAATTAGAGTGTCCGTGTTAACATATTAAAGAAACGCCTTGACAAAGTTTTGAGCAAATTTGTAACGTTTTCACCCCATGGAATTCCGGATTTGACCAGCTTTGACCACCTTCCGAAAAATGAGCAAATTTTCTCCAGTTCGAAGCCAAAAATCAAACTGTTTCCGCGTTTTTGTAGCATATATTCCTTTTCATTGTGCCTAAAAATGAATGCATTATAACTGAAAAGAAAAAAGTTACGACATAAGTTGCAAAACTTATGTGCCAACCTATTACATAACCAGTGCGTCACCTCTGCTTCGCAGAGGCTCGCACTGGCCCTATTTTCTGTATGCGTTACTCATTCCCGCATAATAATGACATTGAAACTCACCGCGCTATGTAGGCTTAGGCTATCACGAATAATTCGTAAACAACTACTCATTCTTAGAGGTTTTCCATGTGAGGTCGGTATTTTCGCATGGATAAAATCTTTCTTAGAAGAACAGATGCAAATTCGAGTAGGCTTTTGGAATTTTTATGGATTGGTAGTCGCCGTAAGGACACTAAACATAGTGGGCTACACCTCTGTGCGAAAATCTTCTCAAATAATCAGGTAAAATCTTGAAAAATTGACCATCGTGCAATCAATACTTTTCGGCGTCGTTTTTGTAAAGTAGTAGACTTTTGATCCCTTTTTCGGAGCAAAGCCCATGGCTTGCACACCGAGATGCTAAGCACATCCACGACTCTGCAAAAAGTGGTGAAAGTATGATGGATGATGATGCTTCGCAGAGGATCGCACTGGTCCTACTCTATAGTTTTTGAGCAATATCTCCTCTTAAGAAAGGCAAAGTGTGGTACGTCCACAGCAGGTACTGGCTCTATGCACCCCATGAATATGGTGCCGTGCGGGTCTGCGCGTCCATGCTTGTCCTCAGAGCTAAACAGCGCCCTGCCTCATCTCTCAAA